CTTGCGATTTACCAGTCACCTGGCCACGATCTACAGGTTGCTGACCCCCACTGTAGGATCTTCAATTGTGCCGGATTCCTGTGTATGCCTTGTGCTTCTACCAGCCAGGTTCTATGTCACTACTGTGTACCTGTAAACCTAAAATGGTGTAGCAGCCGAATGGTAGAATAATGGCGTACAGATATGAGAATGGTAGAATAATGGCGTACAGATAAGAGAATGGTAGAATAATGGCGTACAGATATGAAAATGGTAAAATAATGGCGTACAGATATGAGAATGGTAGAATAATGGCGTACAGATAAGAGAATGGTAGAATAATGGCGTACAGATATGAGAATGGTAGAATAATGGCGTACAGATATGAGAATGGTAGAATAATGGCGTACAGATAAGAGAATGGTAGAATAATGGCGTACAGATATGAGAATGGTAGAATAATGGCGTACAGATATGAGAATGGTAGAATAATGGCGTACAGATATGAGAATGGCAGAATAATGGCGTACAGATATGAGTGGCAGAATAATGGCGCACAGATAAGAGAATGCTAGAATAATGGCGTACAGATATGAAAATGGCAGAATAATGGCGTACAGATATGAGAATGGCAGAATAATGGCGTACAGATATGAGAATGGCAGAATAATGGCGTGCAGATATGAAAATGGCAGAATAATGGCGTGCAGCTATGAGAATGGCAGAATAATGGCGTACAGATAAGAAAAAGGCAGAATAATGGCGTACAGATATGAGAATGGCAGAATAATGGCGTACAGATATGAGAATGGCAGAATAATGGCGTACAGATATGAGAATGGCAGAATAATGGCGTACAGATAAGAAAAAGGAAGAATAATGGCGTACAGATATGAGAATGGCAGAATAATGGCGTACAGATATGAGAATGGCAGAATAATGGCGTACAGATATGAAATGGCAGAATAATGGCGTACAGATAAGAAAAAGGAAGAATAATGGCGTACAGATATGAGAATGGCAGAATAATGGCGTTCAGATATGAGTATGGCAGAATAATGGCGTACAGATATGAGAATGGTAGAATAATGGCGTACAGATATGAGAATGGTAGAATAATGGCGTACAGATAAGAGAATGGTAGAATAATGGCGTACAGATATGAGAATGGCAGAATAATGGCGTGCAGATATGAGAATGGCAGAATAATGGCGTACAGATATGAGAATGGCAGAATAATAATGGCGTGCAGATATGAAAATGGCAGAATAATGGCGTGCAGCTATGAGAATGGCAGAATAATGGCGTACAGATAAGAAAAAGGCAGAATAATGGCGTACAGATATGAGAATGGCAGAATAATGGCGTACAGATATGAGAATGGCAGAATAATGGCGTACAGATATGAGAATGGCAGAATAATGGCGTACAGATAAGAAAAAGGAAGAATAATGGCGTACAGATATGAGAATGGCAGAATAATGGCGTACAGATATGAGAATGGCAGAATAATGGCGTACAGATAAGAAAAAGGAAGAATAATGGCGTACAGATATGAGAATGGCAGAATAATGGCGTTCAGATATGAGTATGGCAGAATAATGGCGTACAGATATGAGAATGGCAGAATAATGGCGTACAGATATGAGAATGGCAGAATAATGGCGTACAGATATGAGAATGGCAGAATAATGGCGTACAGATATGAAAATGGCAGAATAATGGCGTACAGATATGAGAATGGCAGAATAATGGCGTACAGATATGAGAATGGCAGAATAATGGCGTACAGATATGAATGAATTAATCAGACATTCCTGAGGGAGGGGGAGGGTTATGGAGTTATTTTAGGGAGATAATTATTTGTAAAATTGTATCTTTTTTTTTGTTTTCTTTTTCCGTTAAGTGGGGAAAAGGATTGTAATATGAATTTTGTTGAAAATTAATAAATATTTATAAAAAAAAAAAATCAGACATTCCTGGAAGTATCAGATGCTGAAGAATCTACCAGACATATCACTTACCTCTTTGTTAAGGCCATCCTAATGCTAACCCCAACTCTTTATCAGCAAAATCATGTAATCTCCATGTCAGCTCTGACATAATGGGGTTAATTAATAAATGCAAATAGATTTTTCACCTTGGAGGGGATTTTTCACATTTCAAGGGAATTTTCCCATATCTTAGTGAATGCAGTTTACAAAGAACACCCAATCATGTGCAAGAAAACAGGATTTTTACTTGCACATGACGAATGATGGAAGTCAGTAGAGCTTTACCTTTTTCAAAAGGAAAATTCCCTTGCAACGTGAACAGCCTATTTGCCTTTAATAAATCAAACCAAGTGAGTACATGACTTTGTTGATCAAAAAAGGGTGAATATTCTATTTATCAAACATCCCAGCTAAAAAAGGGATTGTTTTGGCCCAGGAACAGGTCATTGATACTTAAAAAAAAACTTCCTTAACCCCCAGAAACCAGTTAAAACCAATTACATTCTTAAAACTACCTTTATTTAGCCTTCAGACTCCGATGTATTTTGCAAAATGTCCTCATCCCTACCAGAGACACAACAGAGAGTTGGAGGAAAATCCTCTGTTTGGTGTTATTGTGGCAGAAAGATTTTCACTGTTTCTATGACAACTGTAATTTTTTTTGTATTTATCACTATTTCCTGTCTCGAGACGCATTAGCAAGAGTGGTTCTCCTGAAAGTGGACATACAGGAAAATAAAAACCCTGACAGAGATTATAACCCTTTCTGTCAGGAACACTGTACCAGCCATCAAGCTAAGACATGCGCATGAAAGCGTGCACATTATTGGGAGCATAGAATTTATATTTTCATTATGAGCAGACTTAGGCGCACATGTGTTGCTGCCAAGCGGGCTATTTAGACCTGAACTCAGCAGCTTGCTGAGTGGTCTTCAGTCTTGCTGCTGTGTTCTTGATCCTGATACTTTTTCTGATTTTGTGATTGACCCAGCTTCCAACTGAGCTTGCTTTTGAATTACCGTTCCCTACTTCACTATTTCCTCTACCGACCTCAGCCTGGATTGTTAACTACACTCCTGGCTACCCCAGTTCCCATGTTTTCATCCATGGTTGAGTCGCTCAGCCTTGTTTCCACGTCAAATGCACAAAAACCTAGGAATTGTGCAGAAAAATGGCAGCAGGTGCACTGGACTGATGAGTCAAATTTTTAAGTATTTGGCTGTAGTAGGAGGCAGGTTGTTCACCGAAGGGCCATAGAGTGGTTCAATAATAATGAGTGTCTGCAGGCAACAGTGAAGTATGGTGGAGGTTCCTTGTAAATTCACTGCTGGATTTCTGCAAATGGAGTTGGAGATTTGGGCAGGATTAATAGTCTCCTCAATTCTGAGAAATACAGGCAGACACTTATCCATCATGCCATACCATCAGGGAGATGTGTGACTGGCCCCAAATTTATTCTGCAGCAGGACAACAACCCCAAACATAAAGCCAATGTCATTAAGAACTATCTTCAGCGTAAAGAAGAATGAGTTCTGGAAGTGATGGTTTTGCCCTAACATAGCCCTGATCTCAATGTCATGGAATAATGGAGGAGCTCAGCTATGAGGAAAGATTAGAGGAACTGAATTTATTCTCTCTTGAGAAGAGGAGATTAAGGGAGGATATGATCAACATATATAAATACATCAGTGGTTCGTTTAGTGAACTCGGTGAAGAGCTATTCACCCTGAGGTCATCACAGAGGACACTCTTTGTGTCTGGAGGAAAAGAAATTTAATCTCCAAATATGGAAAGGTTTCTTCACAGTGAGAGCTGTGAAAATGTTGAATAGACTCCCTGAAGAATTGGTTCTGGCTAGCTCAGTGGATTGCTTCAAAAAAGTCCTGGATTGTTTCTTACATACACAGAATATAACTGGATACTAACATTTATAGGTAAAGTTGATGCAGGGAATATCTGAATGCCTCTCGGGATCAGGAAGGAATTTTTTCCCCTGCAGGAGCAAATTGGATCATGTTTTGCTGGGTTTTTTTGCCTTCCACTGGATCAACTGTGGGTGTAGGATTATAACTTTTTTTATTTTTTTTGTTTTTATTTTATGGTTGAACTGGATGGGCTTTTGTCTTTTTTCAGCCAACTAACTATGTGACTATGTCTGAGATTACATGAAGAGACAAAAGGATTTGAGGCAACCTGCTTCCACTGAAGATCTGTGGTTAGTTCTTTAAGATGTTTGGAATAACCTACCTGCCAAGTTTTCTAACTCTACGACAGTGCGTATCCCTATGCACTAAATGCCCATTATTAAAATATAACCCCTCATTGAGGAATTTATATAAAATAGAATGTTCAAGACTGTAGACTGTTAAAGACTGTACTTATATACTATATTGCCAAAAGTATTGGGATGCACGCACACGAGCTTTAATGGCTTCCCAGTCTTAGGGTTCAGTATTGAGTTGGTCCACCTTTTGCAGCTATAACAGCTTCAACTCTTCTGGGAAGGCTGTCCACAAGGTTTAGGAGTGTGTCTATGGGAATGTTTGACCATTCTTCCAGAAGCGCATTTGTGAGGTCAGGCACTGATGTGGGACAGAAGGCCTGGCTGGCAGTCTCCGCTCTAATTCATCCCAAAGGTGTTCTATCAGGTTGAGGTGTAGGCCAGCCAAATTTCTCCACCCCAAACTCGCTCAACCATGTCTTAATGGAACTTGCTTTGTGCACTGGTGCACAATCATGTTGGGACAGGAAGGGGCCATCCCCAAACTCTTCCCACAAAGTTGGGAGAATTAAATTGTCAAAAATGTCTTGGTATGCTGACGCCTTAAGAGTTCCCTTCCAACTAAGGGGCCAAGCCCAACCCCTGAAAAACAACCTCACACCATAATTCCCCCTCCACCAAACTTTACACTTGACACAATGCAGTCAGGCATTGTTCTCTTAGCAACCGTCAAACCCAGACACATCCACTGGATTGCCAGACAGAGAAGATTTATTCGTCACTCCAGAGAACACATCTCCACTGCTCTAGAGTCCAGTGGCGGCATGCTTTACACCAACTGCATCCAACGCTTCGCATTGCACCTGTCGATGTAAAGCTTGGATACCCCTGCTCGGCCATGGAACCCCATTCCATGAAGCTCTCTACGCACTGTTGTTGTGCTAATCTGAAGGCCACACGAAGTTTGGAGGTCTTTAGCTATTGACTCTGCAGACAGTTGGCGACTTCTGCATAATGTGTGCTGCAGCATGTGCTGACCCAGCACAGTCATTTTATGTGGCCTACCACTTGGTGGCTGAGTTGCTGTTGTTCCCATTTGCTTCCACTTTCTTATAATACCACTAACAGTTGACCGTGGAATATTTAGTAGCAAGGAAATTTCACAGATGGACTTATTGAACAGGTGGCAACCTATCACAGTACCGTGAATTCCTGAGAGCAACTCATTCTTTCACAAATGTTTGTAGAAGCAGTCTGCATGCCTAGGTGCTTGAGTTTATACACCTGTGGCCATGGAGGTGATTGGAACACCTGAATTCAATGATTTGGAGGGGTGTCCCAATTCTTTTGGCAATAGAGTATATATATATGCCCATAGAGCAAGGAAAGCACACACTAAACCACAATTTCCTTACGGTCACAAATAACTTCATACCTTATTTAGCCAGTACATGTACCTGTGGATATTAGGATAGATTGTGGGTCCAGCAAAGATGAACTACTGCTCTAGAGATAACAAACATTGCCAATAGGTCATCTATATAGAGAAGGGGGAGGATAGATACAGTATATTGGTATTCAGAATCATCCATGTCCTATCAACCTCATAATAATTGTCAAGCCCTACTACATGCGTTAGGACCCTATATCTCTCTTACTACAGGTATGTAATATGGGTACACTCATCCATGTGGCAATAACTTAGACCACTAATGGATGAGCCCCATACATCACCATATCCACCAAAAAAATTCTTAACTGGCTGGTGGGATCACCATGTCTTGCAACAATGAGTGCAGTACTCCTTCCCCAGAAAAATCTTTGGGGAGAAGTGACCATGTGTTCCCATAGAAAAGTGCTCAAAAGGACAAAATAAAAGTACCCAACCCTACATGTTTCCCTCAAAGGCAGAGCTTTGTCAGGGGTAATATGAGGCAAAGAAGAAAATAAAGTGAGCAACAGAAAATATAAAGTAATCTCCTGGTCACATGGTGAGGAAATGGCGTCTGTTATTGACTGTTCTCCTATTTATAAGTTGGATGGCCAAAATGGCCACCACATACGTGACGTGATGATGTTATCACACACGTGCGTCATTACACAAATGTCAAAATGTAATTTTAACCACACTGACTTCCTGAGTTTCTTCAAAAACTGTGCAATTGTACCTAGAAGAATTGATGCTGGTTTGAAGGCAGAGAGTAGACACGCCAAATATTGATTTGATTTGGATTTCTGTTCATTTAATTTAATTTGGTTAATTGATAAAAATAAACTATTAACACTTTTTCTAAAAGTATTCTCAATTTACAGCATTTTTTCACTTGCCTATATTTTCTGCAGTGCTGTTGATACCTGGAAAATGTCTGAACAAAGATGGAGGTGAAGGCATTATCAGGGGAATACTGTGATCAGTATTAAATATCTAGATATGTTATACTTACACATTACTAAACTTGCAGAACTTAAAAAATAAATCTAGTGCTTGGTCCATTTAAACATAAAGGTTCAACATTGTGCAGCTGTTTGAGATTAATCAGAGCTATAGGCCAAGGCATATCTCTTCCTATAGGGCAGGGGTCTCCAAACTTTTTAAACAAAGGGCCAGTTTACTGTCCTTCAGATTTTAGGGGTGGGGGGCAGATTGTGGCTAGTGAGAAAATGTCCCAGGCCCAGAATCATTGAGAATAAATATGGCCTCAGGGTTGGTGGTTAGTAGTAGGATGAGGAGTGGTGTCCCATTATTGGTATTAGTAGGAGGAATAGTACTCCATCACTGGTGGAAGAAATATTGTCTCATTGTTGATGTCAGTAAGAGGAATAGTGCCTCATATCATTGGTAGGATTAGTCTACCAAGGGTCAGCTAAAAGCTAGAAAAGAACCGCATCTGGCCCTTGGGCCGCAGTTTGGAGATCCCTGCTATAGGGTCTCATTGTTTTATTATAGCCATCTGTGACGGGTGATGTTGGATCATATTTATACTGTAGCTGAACCCTGCTGGGAGAAATTGCATCCAGTACAACAATTCTACTTTTTTTATTTCACACTTTCTCTGGCAAAAAAACCTGACAGAATCTGGTTATACGATGACAAGTAAAATGATTCTACATCATTCCTATTAGTCAATTCCTGATCATGGAAATAGCATTGTTGGCTATGACTTGAGGCTTGTAAGGTGTTAAGTAGCTGATGTCACATTTATCACCAAGGATGGCACTTTATCACATTCACGAGCGTAACCCCCACACACTCCGCTGCAGGCTCTCGAAGCAGATTGAACAGATCCATTATTTCTGGGATGAGTCAGGAGGGTTACATGGAACTGGTGGCAGGTGGTGGGTGTAAGTGAGTTACCAACTTTTAATGATGAATAGATTCTTAATGCCGGGAATGGATCTGTTTCCTCTGCCTGGGCCATGGCAGCAAAGTAATGGACATTCACTTGGCTGCAAATCTCATGGTATGGTATACAGAAAATGGTCAGTATTTAAACAGCCTGCCCGCTCGCCTAAGCGATAGGCTGTTCTTTTTACATTATCATAAATTAAAATACCTATACATTTTAATGTGTAATTAAACATCAAATTACTTACAAAATGCTGTGTTTGCATTATCTTCTGTAATGGAAACAAAAACATGCCATATGGAAGGAACTCCAGCTAAATGGTTACAGTGTATGCAAACCCTATCAATGAACTTCTCTTAATTGTTCCCTTTTGATCTGTTAAATATACCACTGAAAGCATTTTGTTATACCTGTGCAAAAAATACCTCTTGTTCCCACCAGAAATGTAACAAGCTCCTAACGTCCTGTGCTCTTTTGACTGTGCAGCACTGAAATTGCAAGTATTGTTCTCAGCTCCGCCCACCTTTCCTATGTAGCCCAGTGTTTCTCAATCTTTTTTCAGTTAAGGCACCCTTTAAAATTATGGACAGTCCCGAGGCACCCCATTCTAAAATGTGAAACATTATTCTAACAGCAACATCGACACATGTAGGACACCCAACATTGGAGGTGATTTATCCTTCCAAAGCAAATACACTTTTGCTCACTGGTACTGACTAGTATCACATTGTTTCTCTTATCCCTCAGTTTTTCTCCATAAACTGAGCTAATGTGACCCCAGCACTGATGGAGCGGGCAGGGGAGGGGCAAACTAGGATGCTGCTGACATCCTTCTTATCAGTTGATGATGTCATTGGTTGTCAGGATGCCGGCGGCTAGAAGGTCGTAATGGTGCGCAATGAAAACCTGTGGCTTTGTGTAACTACAAGGCAGGCTTGTTTCACCCACTGGCTTGTATACAAGTTTTGGGCAATTTTTAGACATTTTGCCAAGGCACCCCTGAAGAAACCTCAAGGCACCCCAGAGTGCCTGGGCACCCTGGTTGAGAAAGGCTGCTGTAAACTACATACCCTCACCCTTCCCCTCATCAGCCTACAGAGCAGACACTCCTACCACACTCTTAACATTCACATGGCAACTGAGTGTACACATTTATTTTTATTTTATTTATTACAGGTACTTATATAGTGCCGTCAATTTACACAGCACTTTACATATATATATATATATATATATATATTGTACGTTCACATCAGTCCCTAACCCTCAAGGAGTATACAATCTACGGTCCCTAACTCACATTCATACATACACTTACTAAGGTCAAATTAGACGGGAGCCAATTAACCTACCAGCATGTCTTTGGAGTGTAGGAGGAAACCAGAGATGTTTGATTGGATCAGGGGCGGACTGACAACTCATGGGGCCCCTGGGCAATAGGGGATCATGGGGCCCCTGTGTCCCTGCCCAAACTCAAAAAAGCCTATGAAAAAGGTACCAGGGGCATCTCATGGGGCCCCCTACTGACCCCGGGCCCTTGGGCAGTGCCCGAGTTTCCAAATGGTTAGTCCGCCCCTGGATTGGATTGAGATCTGGAGAATCTGAAGGCCAAGTGAAAACCACAAAATCATTGTGTTCCTCAAACTATTCTTGAATTGATCAGACCAGGTCACCTTCTTCCTTTGCTCTGTGGTCCAGTTCTGATGCTCACGTGCCCATTGTAGGCACTTTTGGCTATGGACACAGGTCAGCATGGGCACACTATGGAGCCCCATACACAACAAACTGCGATGCACTGTGTGTTCTGATACCTTTCTAACAGAACCAGCATTAACTTTTTCAGTAATTTGAGCTACAGCAGCTCCTTACACATGCCTCTTTCTTTCTGGTTTCAACACATCAACTTCAGGGACAACATGCTCACTGCCTAATTTTTCCCTCCAACTTTCACATCCCATTGTAACAAGATAATCCATGTTATTCACTTTACCTGTCAATGGTCATATTAACTGACATGCACATTCTTGATCCAGGCCAGTGGCTCACCAAGTACTGAAGGACGGATGAAGATGACAGCCCTGGCACTTGCATCCTGAAAAAAAGTTATCAATGGAAGCTCCCTTATTTCTTTCCTGGCTGTTTTATTTTTAAAGACTTTTCTGTTCAGTGTTGGGAATCCTGGATGGATGAGATGTAGAATGCACATGAGACTATTATATCAATCTTAGATTCAACAAATCAATCCCCTGTCCTGTCTCTATTCTATACACAGCAACATTATGCTTCTCCTGTTATCTATTTAGTACATGAACAATAAGGGTTATAACAAGGCTGTGACTCCAGTAGTCTCCATAAATTAGAATGAATGGCAGCTTCTAAAATGGTGACACAGGACCAGCCCCTGATAGATATTTGTGGAGGCAACATAAATAAGCAAATGTTTAGTGTGAAGTAAATGTGATCTCTTAATCACGCTACAATTAATGATTCAGCCTTTTCAAGAGGAGGGCTTTCCTGCTGCCGAGTTGAGAGCTATGGTGATATGTTATTTGTGACGCTAAATAGAGGAGTTTCCACTTTAATCCATAAGGACCCATCTGAGACCCTTTCAAGCAGTAGAGTTCCCACAATTTAATGTTCTGGAGAGCATAAGCAAGGCAATGTGGAGGTGGGGAAACCTCTGTTTTAGTACCTGAAAAGACCTGGTGCAAATACATATTTTATTCAAAGGTTATTATTTTAATCTACATTTTTCAGTTTACATTCTGCCAGCACTGAAAAAAAAGGAAAAATTTTGAATTATGATTCAGTGAAAGTTACACAGGTCAACCATAAGATTATGTCTACTGACAGGTTGAGTAAATACCATTGATTATCTCATTACTGTGGCATCTGAAAGTCGGTGGGAAATTT